GACGTGTGCACAGCCTCTAGCTCCTCCGCCCCACCCCTCTCCCCTCCCCTCCTTACATACAGAACATTGACCTTTTCCTATCTCAGAGAATCTTATGAGAGTGGTGCTGAAATATCACTTGTAAAAGCATATGGTAAGTCATAGAGGCCTCTGTAGATAGAGAAAATATTCTCATAAAGATGGTTTCATTTTATTCACTTGATCTTCTAAGTTTCTTGACCTGCTATTGTGCCTTACTCTGGAGATACCAAAGAGAGACGGAGCAATGTTAGTTAGCATCCTCCTGGGAATTTCTTGCAAATCAGGCAAAAGACCTTGGAGTGTATTACAGGTCCCACCTGTAATAATTCTATGGGCGTTATAATATTTGTAAAAGCATGTGTTCCAGAGTAGTAATCATGACTCTCTTGTTCTGGCACTCTCTGATCCCCAGGGTCCCTGCCGTCGAGAAATGGAGGACACATTGAATCACCTGAAGTTCCTCAATGTGCTGAGTCCCAGGGGTGTGCACATTCCAAACTGTGACAAGAAGGGATTTTATAAGAAAAAGCAGGTGAGTGAGAGCCTCAGTGTGTTTTCTGTCTCTCCCACTCTCCATGGACACAGAGGAGACACTGACCTCACCAACCTCCAGGCTCTCCTGGCTCACTCTGAGCCTGTGACTTAATGTCAGTCTCAGGAGATGGACCGAGGGCTGCTTTGACCTGTTGCTCTGGGTGATGCTGGATCAACCAACATCCTCAGCCCTAGTGCCTTTCTGCCATCGCTTCCTGCTCCTGCCCTGTCAGCTGCTCACCCACAGAGCAAATGAGATGCTGCCCTGGGGAGTTCTTTTTTCAACTATAAAGGGACACATTGATGCTTTTGTTAATTTTGCATGCTGGGGTAACATTCCAAAGAACTATTGTAGTGAATTTCCAAGAAGTGTGACCTGAGGTCATAAGATCCCATATTCATCCCCTTTCATACTAATATCTTCCTGATAGTGACAAGCTGTAAAGGACCAAGCAAGTTTAAGAGTGGTTATGTTAAGTCATAATAAGTACCCTTCATATGTTCTATATTACCTGATGGCAGTATTTCAATTGGCTTTCTAACTGGGCAATTCATACCACGGTATCTGTAGAATTAGCCTCGGAAGGGCCGGCCCGGTGGCGCACTGCTACAGTGCGCCGCTTGGGAGCGTGGCGGCGCTCC